TGGCATCTCTTGCCCAGGCAGCCAAGTTCTCCCAGGGGCAACACCCTTCCTGCCAGTCCGTGGGACTCCGAGGCTGGCAGAAAATAAATAAAGTGGGCGGAAGGAGATTTTTCCCCCTTTTCCTTTCAGCCCCCTCCCATCTCGCCCCCCCCCCTCCGAGAAGACAGGCTTGTCAGAGGAGGAAATGCTAGACTGACGGCTGGCAGAGGTCGCTCGGACCCTCCGGCCTTGGCAAGGACCCACGTTGCTCACTCCTCCACAACTGAAGAGCCCCCTGGGCTTCTGGCCAGAAGTCACTCAAACACCTGTCAAATCAAAGCAGGAAAAGCAAGTGCTGAACTGCGGCTGGAGCAAAAGAGGGGGGGGGGGCTTCTGCCCAAAGCCTGGCCCCTGCTTGATTGGGGGGGGGATTCCACGCCCCACCTGAGGAAGCTGTTTGAGGGCCTGCTGACTTCACAGCAACAGAGGCTGTCCCTCTTTGGGGATGGAACGAAGGCAGGGAGGGGAGAAAGTGGAGGCTTTGAGCACATCCAAAGGGCCTCAAGAGGCTATCTGGGGTGAGGGGGGGCTCAATTAGGGCTCACTTTTGGGGCAGAGCAAGAAGGCTCCAGATGCAGACAGAGCCCCCCATCCATGCCTCCCTCCCCCAAGCACCTGTAGTTGTCCAGGGGTCAACCTGACCCTCGGGCCCTCCCCACCCTAATAATCAGAACGGAGGCCCCGCGGATGAGAAGGAAAGAGTTTATTTCACGCCCTAGAAGGACCCCGGAGGCTCACAAGGCTCAGGCCTTCCAGGGGAGCTGCCAGCTCCTCCCCACTTGGGGTGGGGGGGGGAGGGAGGGCTCAGTGCCTGCAGTGTTGGGGGGTGTCCGTGTGACCCCATCCCCCAATGGCTGTGGAAGCTGGATGGGGAATGTCAGATACCCTGTTTGGCCCCGTGGGGGGCTTGGCTGTTCCAGTTACCCAGGGGGAGGGAGGGGGCTGGCTCCCCACCCGGGGCCAGAAAAGAACCATGGAAGTTCCTGAGCTGGAGGGCGAACAGCCTCCACTCCACCCCTGGCAGAAGGGCTGGAGGGAGTCACAGTGGTCAGGGGGGCTGGGGGAGAGGAAGGGGCAGATATCCTGAGACGGGGCCTCTCAGTCCAGGGGGAGCCAGACGGTCTTAAGGGGGAAACAGCCTAGAAAATGCCCGGAGGAAAGGCAGGGCTGAAGGGGGCCCCAGGGCCTCTTCCAAATGGAGTTGGGGCCCCGAGGGTCTCCCAGGCGGGCTGCAGGCACCAAGGGGGCTGTTGCTGGCCTCTGGCTCCCCACACTCCAGCGTGCAGAGGAGGGGGGGTCGGGGGGGGAAGCAGGGGCCTGGGGCCTCTGGCCACAGCAGGGGGGAGAGGGGAGGCTGGCCAGGGAGAGGTCTTCGCCTGGACTTTGGAGCTGTGGACTGGCATTTGTCCAGGAGCTAAAGCCGGGTGGGTGGTCCCTCCACAGGAAGAGGGGGACTGGGAGCCCCCCAGCAAGGAGGAGGGCCTGGGCTTTTGGCAGAGGTGCTGCTTAAGAGATCGAAGCTTGTCAAAGGCTGAAAATCAAGGGACAAAATCAATTTGGCAACAAAAGTCCCCCAAGCAGCTCTCTTCTGCCACAGGCCTATTCAGATGGTAATTTGCCAGCGGAGCTGCCTGGCATCCGTCCTTCCTCCAGGGAGGGGGAGAGTTTTAATGGTCAGGCCACCCTCCTCGCCCCAAGCCCCCAAAGTCCCTGGGCAGCCCCTGGGGCCTCCAGGAGCCCTGCTCCAGCAGCACTCTGGCCCCCAACTGGGCCGGGCCTAGGTCTCGCGGTTGCCCTCCTCGGCCCGGGGCCCGGCGTAGAGCGCGGCCAGCTGCCGGAAACGGGGCCCCCAGCCGCTGAGATAGGAGAAGTCCTGCTCGGAGCCCGTCGAGCGAGAAGCGATGGAGCTGAGGGAGGCCAGCGGGGAGTCGGCCCCCTCAAAGGCATAGGTCTGGAAGGAGTCGTAGGGGGGCACCGAGGGGTCGCCGTCCGCCTGCCCCACTTTACGGCGGATGTAGTCTCTGAAGAGGGAGAAGTCGAGGTCTGGCGCCTGGCGCCATTGGGGCAAAGAATGCAGCTCCGAGGGCGGTGGGGGGGGAGCCCCCTTCTCCTCCCCCTCCTTGGTCTCGCCGAACTCGTAGAGGCTGCGCAACGCTGACATGTCGTAGGCCTGGGTGTCCTGCTCGCCACCCCCCTCGTCATTGTACTTGATGACGTTGTCGCGCATGTCCTCGTCCTCCTCGGAGGGCAGGTGCCCCTTCTGGTGGCGCTTCAGGGCCAGGATCAGGAGGACCAGCACTGCAGCCACGAGGGGGGGGGGAGGCAAGTGGGGAGAGAGAGGCAGGCAGTGGAAGAACCCCCCTGGCAAGGGCTGGCACCCCACCCACGCAACCATCTGAGAGGAGGAGGCTGCCCCCGGCACCTGCACTCCCCACCAGGACCCAGAAATGGCCCAGAGCCCCCTCCCTCCCCGGCTGACCCCCGTGAGGCAGGCCCTGAAATCGCAGAGGAAGCAGCTCCGGGGGGGGGGGGGAGGTGTCTTGCAGACAGGCCTCGTTCACCTCATGCCCACTGAACTGAGGGCAGGAAGCCCACCTGCAGCGAATTGGGTGGGGCTGGTCTGATGGGGGCCTCACCGGGCACAGCAAAAAGGACCTGAGCAGCCCTCAGCAGAGGCCAACCTGGATGGCTGCTTCTGGCTCTGATCCATGGGACCCCCCCCCCCCCCAAGCAATTTCCCACCCACGTGCCAAGGGCTGCGGGCAGGACGTTGCCTTGCCAGCTGCAAGCCGTCCTGGCAGCCCCTCCTCAGCCAGGGGGGCCTCCTGGGGCAGTGCATTGCAAGGGGCGGAGCGTCAGGGGATCAAGGGGGGCCCCGGGGGGGGGCACACTCACCTACGAGGATGAGGAGGCAGACCAGCAGGGCGATGAGGGCACCAGGGCTGAGCGAAGGGGACACCACGAAGGCGGTGGCGTTGCACGACTGGATGGTGCCGGTGTTGTCGCAGCCGCAGATGCGGACGGTCAGGGTGCCGGTGCTGCTGAGGGCGGGGGGGCCACTGTCCACCACCAGGATGGGCAGCAGGAACAGATCCTGCTCCTGCCGGTTGAAGCCCAGGTGCTGAGTGTGCAGCCCAGCCGTGTCGTCTGGGGAGGGAGCGAGACCAGAAGTGGGAGAGGAGGGCCAGGGAGGAGCTTCCCCTGCAGCCCCCCAGAAGGGAGATGCCCCCCCCCTCTGGCCCTGCCACCCACACCTTGACCCCGTCTGTCCCTCTGCGGAATGGCCGGAGCTGGCTGGGTGGAAACGGGGGAGACCACCCATTAGGGAGCCCCCACAGGACCTCCCCACCCCCCAGTCCTCTGCAGGAGGAAGCCAGCTGGAGCGGGGGGGGGGTGGAAGGAGGGGCAGAGGCAACGTGTAGCAGGCTGGGGGGGGGGCTGACCCCTTGGGCTGGGAACCTCAGCCGAGGAGAGCCTGGGGCAGAGGCTGGTGGGCAAGAGAGAGTTGACAGTGGAACCACCAACCCAAGAGGTGGGCCAGGGGTCCTCTCCACTGCTTGAAATTAGGAGCCTGGACAGCCATTTGGGTTTCTGGTCTGAGAGGGCTGGACTAGATGGCCTCAGGAGCCCCCCCCGAGGCTTTTTTGCTGCTTTCATCTTTTTCCGGTTGCCTTTTGTATATCTTCCCCCACCCCAAAACCCTGGGAGGGACGAGCGAAGCCTGCTGGGAGAGGTGGCCACGGGTAGATATTATTCTCCGCAGGGTCCCCCAAGGGGTGACGGTCAGCGATACAGGGGGTGGGGCCATGGCTCCCCTGCCTGGCAGGAGGGCATGGCGAAGCAGCCCAGGACTTCAGCAGGGGAGACAGGCGGGTGGAAAGCACAGCGGACCCCCTCCCCCCCACCTGCCACTCAGGAGCAGCTGAGCATCTTCTGAAGGAGGCGGCTGCCTTCCAGCCTTCCGGACGTTGCTGGAGCGGAGGAGGAAATCCGGAGAGAGAATTCCGGGGCCAACATGAGACGCAGGAAGAAGCAGCAGATGAAAGTACAAATGGCAACCTGGGCATCAGCAAGGGGAGCGGGACTCGCACCCAGCGCTTTGGGTCATTGCAGCCTTTATTGCTCAGGGGACGGAGATCAAAGCAGGGCCTGGGCCGCTTCTGTCCTCAGGAAGGGCGTAGCGAGAGAAGATCTGGGCCGCAAGGCCAGGCGGGACCCAAGGATGCCGGTGAGGCTGTGGGCGACCCCGTACTCTGACACTCCTGCAGCCTCTGATGCGGGGGGGGGGAGGGGTTTTATGGTCAAACGGCATCTGAGACTGACAGGCCGTGCGAGGGGGGGGAGGGGCTGCTGGTGGTGGTTGGGAATGAAATGCCAACGCTGGAAACAGTTGGGAGGGAAACGCAGTTGGAACCCGAAGCAGGAAACTTAAATGAAGCCGGAGGACGAGTTGTCGGTTTCTGCCAATCTAATTATTTCTTCATTGCTGATGCAGCCTCCCAGCCACCAGAACGATCTCTCTGTGCATGGACAACGCCAGACGGAGGACGCAGAAATCAAAAGGACCGCACTGCTGCTCCAGGGAGACGGAGCTCGCGTCCAGTGGCAGAGGCGTGGCCAGGGGATGACGGTGGGGCAGGCGGCTTCCAAGTCGGGCGAAAGCAGAAGAGGCCGCAGGGGGTTTCCGCAATTGGACCCTGAGCGCAGGCCCACCGTGACTCAAGGAGTTGCTGCTTTGGGGCCCTGAGCCTCGCCGAGAGGGAGCCAGAGGAACCGTGGGCAGAAACCGAACCGTTAAGGACGCAGGTGAGAAGAGACGGCCAAAGACCAAGCGACAGAAGAAGAAAAGAAGAAGGAGGAGGAGGAGGAGGAGGAGGAGGAGGAGG